TAAGTGAGTGGAGAAGTCTCTCAGAAAACAGCAACAACAGCAGCAAAAATAGGTTAATTTTTTAAACTCAGTTTGTCAAAGTTCCTTGGCCACACAACTTCTTTTTGTTGTAACACTTATTAATATCTCCAGGAACTAGTGTTCTACATACAGTGAGGTGTCCTATCTGAGATAATTATATTTTTTCCTCTTCAGAGAAAGGAGCTGCCAATAAGTCTCTATACAAGCAGTCAGAAGGATATGTTGGAGCAGGTATTTGAGAGGCCATCTAGGTTTTACAGGTGTTCACCAGACAAATGTAAAGAATTCTGGAGGGAGGGTGGGCCAGTCACCATGAAAAGTCCAGGGAGGGAAGAGAATTCTATATCCAACCCCTTTGTCCTGATATTTGGAGTTAGGAGGATCTATCAAGTTGTAGAGCATGGCCCTTTTCAAGGCCTAATAGCAGGAAAGGATAATAAGACCCATGAAATAAAGTTACCAGCAATTTAAAAAGAGGCTGCTCTTGTGGGCTGGCACTGACACTGAGTAAAGAGGAATGCAGGGGATGGTGGCAGGACTGACAATATAATTCATTTAGCCCAGTGCAAAATGAAAATACAGAGTTCCTTGTTAAAAACTTATTAAGAATTTCAAGACAAGAACAGCAAAGCATTATACCAAGGGTGGGGCCCTTTTAAGCATAAAGCCTTGTGCAACTGCACAGGTGGTACATCCATGAAGGCAATCTTAGATGGTGGTCTTGGTTTTCTGAGGCTGTGCACAAAAGAACTATTCTTGCCCTGACTCTTCTAGGGCTGCCTTACTACTTTAGGAAGTAATTGGGTGTGAAACAAAATTGCTGGTCACTAAGAGCTATAACAAGATACACTGAGGTCAGTTTTTTTTTCATTTTCTATTGCTGCTGTAACAAATTACTACAAATTTAGTGACTTAAAACAACACATATTTATTATCTAACAGTTCTATAATTCCGAAGTTTGAGCTGGGTCTCACTGGGCTAAAATCAAGGTACTGGCAGGGCTAGTTCTTTCTGAATACTCGAGGTTCCATTTACCTGCTTTTCCCAGCTTCTAGAGGCCACCTGCATTCCTTAGCTTGTGGTCCTCTTTCCATCTTGAAAGCTAGAGATGTTGCATTTTTCTGATTATTCTTTTGTAGTCACATCTCCCTCTGACTTTACAATTACTCTTCTGTCTCCTGCTTCCATTTTTTATGGACAATAGGCCCTCCCAATTGGATAATCCAAGATAATCTCCCTATCTGCTAATTAGCAACCTTAATTTCATCTGAAACATTAATTGACCCTTTCCACGTAACCTATCGTATTCACAGTTTCCAAGGATTAGGACACCTTTGGGGGACATTATTCTGCCTACCATACTCAGAGAGAACCAAACCAAACCAAACTGGACCTTGCCTTTAAAACAAATTATTGGTGTATAACACACAAAAGATACCCAAATCTTAAGTGTACAGCTTGAATAATTTTTCATAAATATGTATACCTGTGTACTGTATTAATATACTCTGTGTAGCCACCACTCAGATGAAAATATAAAATATATCTAGCCCTTCAGATGGCTCTCACGTATTCCTTCACAATCAATATCCACCCTCCAGAGGTAACCAGTATTCTCTCTTTTATCACTGTATCAGCTTTCTATTACAAACCACTCTAAAACTTGGTGGCTTAAAATAAAAACCACTTTATTTGCTCATAATTCTGTGAACCAGGAGTTTAGGCTGAGCTCAGCTTGGCAATTCTTCTGCTGGTCTCATCTGTGGTCACTCATTTGGTTGCAGTCATTTGGCAGCTTGAATGGGCCTGGATGGTCCAAGCTGGTCTCATACATCTGTCTAGTGGTTGGTGCTGGCTGTCAGGTGAGCCTCTCTCTCTATGTGGGTATTTAATCATCCAAGAGGTTAGGCTGCGCTGCTTTATATGGAGATCTCAGGGCAGCAAGAAAGCAACAGCAAATTGCCCAGAACTTGTGCAATGTCACCCCCACTGCATTCTTTTGGTTGAAGTAAGTCACAAGGCTATCCTATATTCCAAGGGGTGGAGAAATAAACTGTACTTCTTCATGACAAGAACTGCCAAAAAGCCTGTGGCCATTTTTTTCATCATGTTACCATTTGTTAATTTTACTTGTTCTTGAACTTCATATAAATGGAATCATACCAAAAGTACTCTAGTTTCTGGCTTCTTTAGTTCAGTATTATGTACTTGTATGTGAAACCCAAACATAATTTTGTGTGTGGCAGTAGATTGTTCTTTTTTATTGCTGCTGTTCATATCCCATTATATGAAAATACCACAATTTATTAATTCTACTATTAATGAACATTTGACTTATTTCTAGTTTGTGGCTATTATAAATAAAGCTGCTATTAATGTTCTTGTGCATGTCTTTTGAGGGGCATATGTACTCAATTATCTTGGGTATATACCTAAGAAGGTAATTACTGGGTCAGGGGTTAAGCTAGTATTAAGTTTTAAAATAAATTGCCAAAGAGTTTTCTGAAGTGATTGAATTAATTTACATATCCATAAGCAATGTATGAGAGTTTTAGTTGCTCCACATCCTTACAAATGGTTGGTATTATCATCCTTTTAAATGTCAGCAATTCTGATAGGCATTTAGTGGTATCTCATTGCTATATTGATTTGCATTTCCTTGATGACTAATGATATTGAACATATTTTTACATGTTTAATGGTCATTTGGCTATCCTTTTTTGTGAAGTTCTTATTCAGTATTTTTTGAAGTGCTATTTAAAAAATTGGGTTGTTTTCTTTTCCTTGTTGATTTGTAGGAGTCCCTTCTATAGTCTGCCTTTGCTTCTGTAATTGTATATATGTATTACAAGTGGCTTGTCTTTTCCTTCTATTACTGTCCCTCAATTTGGATTTGATGTGATTTTTTCTCATGATTAAAATTCAATGATTTCTCTGGGGTTTTTGGAAAGAATACCATAGAAGTTAAGTACCCACATCATTGCATCATATCAGGGGGTAAGTGATTTCAATATGACTTATCACTGGTGATGTTAACTCTGATCACTTAGTTAAGGTGGTGTCTGCTAGGTTTTTCCACTATGAAATCACTATTTTCCTCTTTCCATACTCATTAAGTCCAGCTCACACTCAAGGAGTGGGGAATTATGCTCTTCCTCTTTCAGGATAGAGTATCTACATAATTTATTTCAATGTTTTTTGCATGGGAGAGTTCTCTCTTCTCCCCATTTATGTATTTATTCAATAATTTATTCAATGTGGACTCATGGATATTTATTCTCTGAATTATAAGCCAATATTATGATATTGTTCAGATTACACAATGAACAAATTTGAGCAAAGGAAAAAATATAGAATACTATATGAAAAACTGCAGAATATAATTGTTTTCAAGTACATATGAAACATTTATCAAATATGATCATAAACTGGGCCATAATGATACTCCTAACACATTTCAAATAATTTAAATCATTGAGAATATATTTTCCAACATTGATGCAATTAAATTAGATATCAATAACAAAAATATATCTAGAAAATTCCATATTTTGGAAATTAAGAAATAGATTTTAAAATAATTGTTGGATCAATGAAGACATCATAATGGAAATTAGAAGATACTTTGAACTTCACAACAGTGAATATATTATATATCAAAACTTGTGAAATGCAGTTAAAGTAGTACCTGGAAGGAAAGTTCTAGCTTTGAAATGTCTATATTGAAAAGAAGAAAAGTTGAAATTTAAAAAAGCTAAGTTTCTGAAGTTAAAAAATAAGTAAGTGCAAAGATTGTAGAAGAAAAAAATAGTAATGGTGATATGAAGACAAAATACACTGGACAATTAAGGAGATGATTTTATTTAGGTTATTGCAATCAGGTGAATATTCTTTAATGAGGAATGTCACAAAGGAAAGGAGTTGGATCTGGGGTTTTATAGAAGCAGATAAACAAGGAAATTTTAGGTAAGTCTTATTGGAGTCATGAGGAAGAATGGAGATGGATCTTATCTGAGGTATTGAGGAAGAGTGGAGGTGAGTCTTCTCTAGGGATATGTGATGGCAGGGTGATCTTTTGCAAGTTAGTTAATGCACAAAAGGGTGGGAGCACAGGGCTCAGATAATGTTTAACATTGTCAGTAAGAACAGAAATTAATGAAATAGAGTACAAAATAAGGGCCGACTGAGTGGCGCGATTGATAAGCACTGGCTTGGGACGCCAGAGGGCCCCGGTTCGGACCCCACATATGAGGGCCAGTGACACTGCCCTCTACAGCTAAGATGCTGAGCAACAGCTTGACCTGGAGCTGGGCTGCCATGAGTTGCTGGCGACGGCGTAGTCTGCAGCCCCTGTGGCAGTGGGTTGCCATGGGCTACCATGTGTAGCCAGCTTGAGCGGCCAGCAGCCGCAGTGAGCGGCCGTCCAGAAGCCGGCGACTGATGTGCCTCGCCTGAGAAGAGCGCAATGATGGTACCAACTTGGGCCAGTGAAGCAACGTCCTCCACAACTAGACTGAAGACCAAAAGGAGAGCAACTTGTCTGTTCCCCTTCCCCCAATTCCCCAGCACTGTTCCCATCCCCCCAATTCCCCAATTAAAAAAAAACATTTCTAGAGTACAAAATAAAAACAAAACTGCAGTGGACAAGCAACACCAAAAGTTGCTCCTTTAAAAAGAGCAATAAAATTGACAAATCCCCAACAAGACTAATAAAAAAAACTAAGAAAAGGTCTAAGTAATCAAATTCAGAAATGAAAAATGAGATATCACTACATCTGCTGCAGACTTTAAGGAGATAAGAGTATATTGTAAATGACTATAATTGGAAACTTTAGATGAGGTTAGAAAATTCCTAGAAAAATATTACTTATCAAAACTGACTCAAGACTTTTGGTCGTGGCAGCGACAGCACTGACCCTGTGACACCCACTCTCTGGCTCTCCACTCTTCCACTCCACTTTGTGCCTGCTGTGTCACCATGATGGAACAGGCCATCTCCTTCACCAAGGACTTCCTGGCCGGAGGCATCGCCATTGCCATTTCCAAGATGGCCATGGCCTCAATTGAGCAGATCAAGCTGCTGCTGCAGGTGCAACATGCCAGCAAGCAGATTGCAGCTGACAAGCAGTACAAGGGCTTGGTGGAATGCATCATGGGTATCCCCAAGGAGAAGGGTGTGCTGTCCTTCTGGAGGGGCAACCAGGCCAATGTCATCTGTTACTTTGCCATGCAAGCTCTCAACTTTGCCTTCAAGGGTAAGTGCAAGCAGGTCTTCCTGGGGTGGGGGTGGGGGTGTGTGGACAAGCACACACAGTTCTGGAGGTATTTTGTTGGCATCGTGGCATCTGGTGGTGTGGCAGGAGCCACCTCACTCTGCTTCATCTACCTTGTGGATTTTGCCAGAACACGTCTGGTGGCTAATGTGGAGAAATTGGGCACCAAGTGGGAGTATAAGAGCCTGGGGGACTGTCTGGTGATGATCACTAAGTCCGATGGCCTCTGGGCCCTGTACCAGTGCTTCAACCTGTCCTTGCTGGGTATAATCATCTATTGGGCCACCTACTTTGGCATGTATTACACTGCCAAAGGCATGCCCCCAGACCCTAAGAACACCCACATTGTGGTGAGCTGGACGATTGTCCAGGTGGTGATTGCCATGGCTGGCATAGTGTCTTACCCCTTTGACACCGTTAGGCAGCACATGATGACGCAGTTGGGGCACAAAAGAGTGGACATCAGGTACCAAGGGACCATGGACTGCAGGTGGAAGATCTTCAAGGACAAGGGTGGCAAAGCCTTCTTCAAAAGCGCCTGGTCCAACATCCTCAGGGGCATGGGCAGCTTTTTAGTACTGGTTCTGTACAACGAGCTGAAGAAGGTCATCTAGGCACGTCCACTCTCTGAACCCTGGGGACCAGGAGACTCACTACATTCTTTCACTGTTACAGACCTTCCAGAAATTCTAGTGTCCTTGTCCAGCCAGATCATGTGTAGGGGGCTGGGAAGGCTCTAGAGTGGGGTTCACGGGCACCTGGTTCCACACATTGATCACAGGAGGGGGGCATCCTGACATCCTTTGGGTCCACAGGCTGGGCAGCTCAGCCATGCACGTGGAGGTGCCACATGTTTGTAGGACAGAGCTGTGTCTAAGTAGTTATTTAAAGGAAATCATTCTCTCATCTCTACCTAAGCACCATCCTCTTTTGCACAGCCAGTCATATACTTGCAATTATGTTCTATGTGGTGCATTCTGCAGAAAACAATAAAAACAAGACACACAAGAAAACTGACTAAAGAAAAATTAGGCAATTTTATTCCTACTCACCTTTGTAGACGACACCTTTATAAACTGAATAAAATTTTTAAAAGTTGTCAGGTTTTTGTCAATACTCCTTTCTTTGGTACTAACTATGGGAAAGGAGGTGGGACTGGGAGCACAGGAAACATAATCCCCTGGTTCTCCATTTTAAAAGTTTACAGCATAACATTCGTCCTTTTCTGGCAGCTGTTGGTGAATTTGGGGACAGCTAAAACAAGACTATTTTTCTTAATTTAATTAGGGATCTTAACACAAAGTAAAGCAGAATGAAACAGAATTATTGGGTTGTCAGAAAAGTCATGACATATTTTTTTATGTTTTTCATTGCAAAAATGCGTCATGACTTTTCTGACAACCCAATACATAATACAACCCTTCTCCCTCTCAATCCTTATATGGTTCTTTTATGACAGCCTATAGTGAAAGTCAAGCACATATTCTATGGTAATGTGTAAAGGATAGCAGCTAATGCAGTCTCATGTGTTGCTTTATAATAGTCTAAATTAACATATGGTTAAAGAAGAGAAAAACCTGGAATAGTGTGTGGTCAGAAAGTGGCTGACACCAGTGGTCTACAAACTGGTTCACATGTCAACTGCATCAGGATCACTTGGGGAATATTTTGTCTGGGGCCAGGACTGGAAATCTGCTTATATAAGTCCACTGGGTGATTCTGATGAACATTTAGGCTTGGGAACCACTATCTTGTGCTGTCTCTCTTAAGCATCAATTGTCTCAATTGTGCTATTATATTTAACATGACTCTGTTCAGAAGTTCCGGAGTGCGGAAATTCTGTATTTGTAACCAGACAGAAGTGTAAATTGGTAAGACCATCCTGGAGAACAATTTAGCAATATACAATAAAATTGGAGATGCATGCATGGGTAAAGTTCTACTTCTAAGCACATATTCGCAGATTTACACCAGGAGACACATACAATGCTGTTAATTGCAACTGTTGCTAATTGTAAAAAACTGGAAAACGCACATTCATAGAATGAACTCTTTTTTTTTTAATAAAGATTTTATTGGGGAATTGGGGGAGGGAAACAGACAAGTCGCTGTCCTTTTGTTCTTTAGTCTAGTTATGGAGGGCGTCGCTTCACCGGCCCATGTTGGTATTGTGATCATTGCGTCCTTCCCGGCTGAGGAAGTCTGTCACTGGCCATTGGACGGCAGCTCACTGCAGCTCATGGCAGCTCATGCTAGCTGCCGGCCACTCATGCTGGCTGCCGGCCACTCACGGTAGCTTACGGCAGCCCGCGGCAGTCCCACTGCAGTCCCACAGCAGCCCACACCATCGCACACGACTCACGACAGCCCAGCTCGAGTTTGAGCTGTTGTTCACCATCTTAGCTGTAGAGGGTGCAGTGTCACTGGCCCATGTGGGAACCGAACCTGCGGCCCTGTTGCTCAGAGCTCGCACTCCCAAGCCAGCTCTTAACCAATTAGCCACTTGGCTGGCCCCCCATAGAGTGAATTATTAACCAGCAGTTAAAATGAATGAATTAGCTTACAGTTATCAACATGGGAAGATTTAGAAAACATTATGTAAAGCGAAAAATGCAAGTTTGAAAAAAGTTGATGCCATTTATCACAGAGGTGGTACTATATATTCTTTATGGATAAATATATATTTATAATAGCAACACAGGAAGATATACACCAACTTTAAATTACTTTTGGAGAGGGAAGGGAGAAGGGAGAGAAAGAAAAAATGTGATGGAGGAGAGGTTTAGCTGTATCACTAATATTAAATTTCTTGAAAGAACGAAGATCTAAAGCAAGTATGCAGAGTGTTTACAAAAGTGTTAAATCCACCACTTCCTGATCCTGGGCAAATTACTTAAGCTTCATGAATTCCAGTTTCTTCATCTGTAAAATGGTATAATAATTGTACATATAACTCATGGAGTTGTTTTGATGATTAAATGAGGTAATATATAACATTTTTTTGCATAGTCAGTTTTTTTGTATAACTACTTTCTAAATAATAGCTGTTATTACTACCAACAAGAAAGTGTCAAAAGCATTGATTCATCTATGAGTCTCTAAGGGCAGATAGGAAAAGGTACATTTCACAGAGAGATGACATGTGGCACTTCAGAGCAGAAGCACCTCTGGTGAGGGTATAGTGCTGAGTGTGCCCTTGGGCAGAAAGAGCAGGGCTTAAATGTTGCTTTTTCATTGTGCTGCTATGTTGGGTACAGTGTCTGTCTCCTTTGAAGCATTTGTATGAATCTGAGCCTATTAGGGTAGTGGGTAATGAATGCCCTTACCTGGCACAAGGTATTTATTGTACGATCTGGGTTCTTCTAAACCTCTGATCCTAAATTTCCAGAGAATGTGGTGGCACCTTCAGAGAGTGGTCTGCTGTCTTCCTAGCCACTGCCTTGTGAAGTGCAAGACAATAGTCGAGTGTGGCATCCAGGCATTGGAAGAGTTGGTGAAGAAGTGACCATCCTCTTTTCTTAGCCTTGAGGCACATCTGGAAGAATAACTGACTTCTTTTATCAGTGACTTTATGGACCTGTCCTTCTCAGGTTTGGGTTTGATAAAGTCCTACTGGATCTCCCTGTTGCCCATTCCTTTCTAATAGCAAAGTGCAGTCCATTGAGAAAGACGTGAAAATGTTATGGAAAAATCACAGGGATATCTTAAGTGGCACCTCAAAAAGATGCTATGGGGTGGCATGGGGTTTGGCCTATCAGTACTGCCCTCACCAGAGAAAATAGAAGTTCATTTACCTCTTCCTGTTTATTCAATCATCAGCTATAACCTATTGACCTTTAGGTACCCAGTGCCCTTTAAAAAATCCTTTCCTTGCCGTCAGATCAAAAGCAAAGCAGTAGTCATTTTACACTCTAGTACAAATGCATTTATATTAATAATATAAATGTATTTTGGATGTGGCACTATTGGTAAGCTATTTCTAAGAAGTGCTAAGGGCAAAAGGGTCTGTAAGTTTCCTCCAATTCTAGTCTAGTAATTTTTCTCAAGGGCTATATCCTCAGTCATTCCATATTAGTCAGTCTGTGCTTGTCCTGAGATAATTAGCTGCTCATAAATCTGCCACCTAGTTGATTCTTCCCCTCCTGCTTCAGCCCCCTGCTTTCTGCCCCATTCCTCTTTTATTTTATTTTTTAATTTTATTTTTATTTTTTATGTGAGCCAGCCATTCTAGGAAATTATCAAACTCGATGAGGGGGTTAAAAAAACTTCTGATTTATAGTATGTCAGTGAGAAGGACAGATGACAATCTGAATTTGTGATTGGTGTCTGAAGTTGAGAGCAGTCTTAACTTATGGGTCTGGTCTAACTCCAGCAGTTAGTGTCTGAATTGAGTTAAATTGTAGGACACCCAGTTGATGTCCACCAAAAATTGGAGAATTACATGGTATGGGAAACCCCACATGTCTGATGTTAGAAGTGAACCATCAGAAGTATTGAGTGCGGTTGTAATATAAAATATGATGTAAGATATTTCTTGTGCCGGGGTCATGGTCTCATGGAACCAAAGAATGGAAACATGGACCAGAGAGGTAAAGTTGCAAAAAAAGAGTTTATTAGAAGTACGAATACATTTCAATGAAGCAGAAGTGGCCCTGAGCAGTAGAGAATGGCTCAAGGGCCATTATTATAAAAAAGAGTACACTCCAAAGAGTTTGGAGCGGGCTGAGCAAAGGTAGCTCAAAAAGTTCAAGGGGGCCCAGGGCAAGGGCCAGGGCCAGAACCAGGGAGTCACTATTAAGAGAAAAAGTACACTCCAAAGAGTTTGGAGCAGACCCCGAGTAGAGGCAAGGCTCAAAATGCTCAAAAGGCGTTGAGTGGCCAAGACTTGGAGTTTTTATCCCTTTTTCCTCTAGAATGGGCAGTTCCTCTCTGGGTGTGGGACCACCTGATTGATCTCATCTCTCTTTTTTTTAAGATTTTATTGGGGAACAGCGTTGGGGAATTGGAGAAGGGGAATAGACAGGTAGACAAATTGCTGTTTTTGTTCTTCAGTCTAATTGTGGAGGATGTCGCTTCACTGGCCCATGTTGGTATGATCATTGTGCTCTTTGTGGGTGAGGCAATCGGTTGCCAGTCATTGGTCGGCCATTCACAGCAGCTCCTGGTAGCTCATACTGGCTACCAGCCATTTACACTGGCTGCCAGGCACTCACATATCTCACGACAGCCCATTGCAGCCCTGCTACAGCCTACGCCATCGCTGGTGACTCACAGCAGCCCAGCTCCAGGTTGAGCTGTTGTTCATCATCTTAGCTGTAGAGGGCGATCATCACTGGCCCTCAATGTGGGATCCGAACCGGGGCCCTGCTGCTCAGAGCTGGTGCTCCCAAGTGAGCTCTTAACCAGCTGAACCACTCGGCTGGCCCTGACCTCATCTGTTTAGAAAAGGAATTTATTAGAAGAAAAGAGAAGTTTTGGGTGGAGATGGGAAGTCTTTTGGGCGGTGCACTCTTTGGGATGTGCAGGAATGCAGAGACCCAATGCCTGAATCTAACTGCCTGCTTTGTTTTCCCCTTGAGAAACATGATCTCCATAAAATTTCTATGGGAAATTG